TACTGTCGCCGAAGTTCCTAGTGCACCGCTACCCGCAGCAATTCCTGAGATCCCACTCCCCGCCGCCGGCGCCATTGTTGAGGTCGCCAGTGACTCCGAATCCACCTCCTCACCATTGCAGACACCTAGCGAAAGTGAGACATCATCCTTCGAGCTACTTGGTTCAGAGAACCTTCTTGACTCAACAGAGCTGGAAGCTGCTGATGAATTCGCCCTATCGCAACGAAAGTTGGCAATTCAGTCCTCTCGCCTTGCGAGAGAGCCCATGTCTTTTGGACAGGCCAGATTTTGGTTCCTCAATCATTTCTTCCAAGACAAGACTCCGTTCAATTTCTCGACTTCTGCGCGCATGGTAGGACCGCTCAGAGCTGCAGCCATCGAGCGCGCTCTGGAAACTGTTATTCAGCGACATGAAGGTCTGCGTACTAGATTCATCTGGTCAGACGGCGAAAGCGGCACCCCTGTTCAAGAGATAATTTCTCGTCCTCTGCTCAAGATGGAGACCAAGCGCATTAACTCCGATGCTGAGGCGGCCTATGAGCTGGAAAAGCTGCAGAATCACGAGTACGATCTGGAGGACTGGGGTTCTATCCGAGTAATCCTTCTCACCCTGTCAGAAAACGTGCATTACTTCCTCATTGGTTGCCACCACATTGCTATGGATGGGCAGAGCATGCACATTGTTTTCTCGGAGCTCGAGAGCGCGTACAATGGAAAGTCTCTTCCGCCCGTCGGAGATGCATCGCAATATCGAAGCTTTGCTGCCAGACAAAGAGAGGACTACGAATCTGGGAAGATGAAAGCTGACATCGATTTCTTCCGTGGCATTATTCAGAAGGACCAGGGTCCAATTGAGCCTTTCTCGCTCACCCACCTCCCAAAACGGAAGATTCTCGATACCTACCGGTTCGTTAGATATCTCAAAAAGGTTTGAAGTTTGCTAACATTCAGACAGACACCATCGCGCCTCGACCCGACTCGCAGCTGGACTAGCTAGCAAGGTTAAGCAGATTGCCCGGAAGCTGCACAGCACAAACTTCCACTTCTACCTTACCATTCTCCAGGCGCTCGTCTTCCGCATGCTTCCCGAAACCAACGACTTTTGTGTCGGGATTGCGGATTCAAACCGACTTGATAGAGACTCTATCAACACAGTAGGATGTCTCGTGAACCTGCTGCCGCTCAAGTTTAGCCGAGCCGAATCCTTCAAACTTGACACAGCCGTCAAGCTCACTCGCACAAAGGTTTATTCTGCTCTCCAGCACTCTCGAGTACCATTTGATGTTCTTGTGAATGAGTTGGGGATCGACCGTTCTGCAACACATACCCCGATCTTTCAGATTTTCATGGACTACAGACTGGGCGACCACGAGAAGTCCCGCCTTGCTGGTTGTGAGGCAGAGATTTCCTGGAACAATGCCGCCACAGGATATGATCTGCATCTTGAGGTTCTCGATACTGCTGCTGGAGAGTCTCTTGTTGTTTTGAAAGTCCAAGAAGCTCTTTACTCCAAGGAAGCGGCCGACTTACTTCTTGGCGCTTTTGTCAATCTCTTAGAACAAGCCACTCAGCAGCCCGCAGATCAGACAGACCTGTCGCTACCTGGGCTGTGGTCGAAGAAGAAAATCGAGAATGCAGTAGCTCTCGGAAAGGGTAAGTTTTACCTTCAAAAATTTTGGTCACCCTTATACATTTACTCACCCTCTATAGGCCCTGAACTGGAGCCAAAATGGCCAGCGACAATCGCACACCGCGTCGATGAGATGGTGAACTTGCACCCTGATGTCATAGCACTGAAGGACGGACAGGGAAATGTGCTCACTTATAGCGCTATGGCCGATCGTGTCAACACAATTGCTGCCACTCTCCTTAATCATGTATCCGATGGTGACAGTGTTGCTGTGTTCCAAGAGCCAAGCGCTGACTGGATCTGCTCTCTCATTGCCATCTTCCGTGTTGGAGCAGCATATGTTCCGCTCGATCTGAAGAATGGCCTGCAACGACTTGCTAAGGCTGTTGATGTTGGTCGTCCGCGAGTCATCCTCCACGACAAGTCAACAGAGGCTCTCCTGCCCGATCTCCGCCCGACAGCAGCGGATCTCATCAATGTTTCGCACATTCCCTCAGTTTCCGGCGCTCGAGTCCCCAACAAGGCCCGGGCAGAGTCTACCGCAGCAATTCTGTTTACCAGTGGATCAACTGGTGTTCCAAAGGGAGTTGTTCTGCCCCATTCTTGTTTCGCGCTGCATGCCGAGGGCCTCGAAAAATCCGCGACCGATGGCCCGATTGTTGTGCTCCAGCAAATTGCCCTCAGCTTTGACTTTTCCCTTCATCAGATCTTCATGGCACTTACCAATGGTGGAACACTTTGTGTACTTTCTTCCGAGCAGCGTGGCGATCCGTCTGAAATCACCAAGATCCTCAAGCAAGAAGGAGTCACCGATACCCTCGCAACCCCAACCGAATATGGTATGTGGTTTGATGCTGGATCTGATATCATCTCCAAGTGCTCATTCTGGAAGCGAGCTCTTGTCGGTGGTGAAGCCTTGCCCAAGTCAATTGTTCGACGATTCCGTGATTTGAACTGTGGACCCACGCTGTTCGATTTCTATGGACCTGTGGAAGCCACCATTGCACTCACTCATGGCGAGGTCGATGTCACACTCGCCGATACCGAACTTCCCATCCCAGTTGGACAAATCCTCCCCAACTACTCTGTCTTCATTTTTGACGAAGCGCTGCAACCTCTGCCAATCGGTGTCCCCGGAGAGATTGTCGTTGGCGGACCTGGAATCGCAGCAGGCTACCTCGGACAAGAAAAACTTACCAATGAAAAGTTCATCCCTGTCCCTAGCAACCTGCAGGACGAGCGCTCCAAGGCACGTGGATGGAACAAGCTTTATCGAACTGGCGACCGTGGTCGTCTCAACCACGACGGCACTCTTACCTACGAGGGCCGGATCAACGGTGACGATCAGATCAAACTCCGTGGAATTCGTATCGAGCTTGGCGAGATTGAGAATGAGATTCTGAAAGCCGCAGGTGGCAAGCTGTCACAGGCAGTGGTTGCCGTCCATGGTCAAGACGCCGACAAATTCCTAGTCGCTTATGTTGTTCTTTCGTCGCAAGGCGCGACATCCGGTGACGAACTTCTCGCAGACATCAAGGCAGCACTACCCCTTCCGAACTACATGCGCCCCTCGCTGTTCATCGCCATTGACAGCATCCCGATGAATATGCATGGAAAGATGGATCGCAAGGCTCTTCACAATATCCCTCTCCCGGATATCGCGGCTTCGGGTGCCTCTGAGCCCGAGTTTCTGAATGAAAAAGAAAAGCAGGTTGCTGAGCTATGGAAAGAGATGTTACCAGCATCTAGCACTACGCTCAGCACAGGCTCAGACTTCTTTCATGCTGGAGGAAACTCTCTCCTACTTGTCAAGCTCCAGCGTCGCCTCAAGGAGACCTTCGGTTTGTCACCTCGACTCACTGAGCTCATGAACTCTAGTAATTTGGGTGATATGGCTCGCTTTTTGGAGGGCAACGGCTCCGATGCAGTTGACTGGGAATCTGAAACGGTTGTACCTGGATCATGGATTGAACGCACCCGAAATTCGACAACGACTGCTCGAAATGACAACATGACAGTGGTTTTGACTGGTGCAACTGGATATATCGGCCGCCATCTCCTCCCATCTCTTCTTGAGAGTCCCCTTGTGTCCCGCATCATCTGCCTTGTCCGTGACAAGACAAAGCTGACCACTAAGTCCGAAAGGGTCGCGGTCATCTCCTGTGACTTCAACAAACAGAACCTTGGTCTGACTTCCGATGAGCTCAGCTACTTGTCCGAGAATGCGGATATCATGGTCCACTGTGCTGCTAATCGCTCTTTCTGGGATGACTACCAGGCACTGAGAGCTGTTAACTTCCAGTCTGTTCGTGACATCGCCAATCTATGCCTTGGACGCCGCGTGCCGCTGCATTTCTTTTCCTCGGGCGCTGTCGCCGACGAAGCCGACCAGCTAGCCCCCGCCAATCCCCAAGACGGCTACCTGAGCAGCAAATGGGTCGCCGAAAAGTTCCTGCACAATGTATCCCAACAATGTGGTCTGCCAGTGTATATCCACAAGCCAAGTGCAGCATCCGAAGGCACACAGTACACAGCCAGCCGCATCGTCCAGCAAGATTTTATCGAATGTGCACAACGCGTTGGTGCTCGGCCCGATGTCCAGGCTTCATCCGGACATATGGATCTCAGTCCGACAACCGACTTCATTACGAAGGCGTCAGAGGCTATTCTGAGCAGGCAAGACACCAACTCAACCCTGGAACTCAGGACCGTGCTGTACAACCCAGAACAAAGATTTGATATTCAGCTCTCCATTGCCCCTCTCAGCGCTGACCCTGCTTGGGCGTCCCTGCCGACAATGGATATGCTTTTGTGGATGGGAGAGGCGAAGAAGAATGGTTTCCCTTATGTTTTGACGGCCCAGAGAATTGTGATAGGCTCGAAGACGGGACAGGTGATTTCTAGGCGCTAGATTGTACTGTTTTCATGCGTTTATAGATCAATGCGAATTTGAATTGTTTGAGTTTAAAAACAAGACGTTACTGAGTAGAAGATAGAAACCTTGGAAGTCGATGAGAAAATCTAGAATAGGCTGCGGCAGCATCCGCGAAAATCCAAATCCGCTCCGCATCCGCTCCGCAGATTGCGGATATGGATACGATTCTGACATCCAACTATCCGCGCGGATTGGATGCGGATTTAGGCTTCAAAAAGTTGGATATCCGCGGATATCCAGCGGATTCGAAAACAGTACAAACATGCCAAGTCTCGTGATCTGATTTGGCATGCATATCTTATGCAGATTTCAAGGTAATATTCTGTACTACCAGTGTTATATTAATTAAACGTTTGCGATCCAGTAATCATCTCTAATAGTATATCGAATCAGTCCACTGCTCAACTGCTTCATTTAGCTCATTATATAGTTATACTATGGCTGCCCCATCTCGAATCCGTCTGGTAACCATGGCTTCTTCCGAATCCTTCCTGTCCGGGTCTGTGTACCATCGAATGTTGTTCCGTCCAGCAGGGCACTATCGTCTAGATCTAAAGTATCCACAGGCCGCTTCAAGGAGTAAGAGATCGCCAGTTCATCTACATCATTATCGGAATCCTCCTCTTGTAGCTCTTCTTGGTATCCTTCCTCTTCATTGTCACTAATCGGTTCCATAAACTCAAGTGATGGTGGAGATAGACGGCTCTGATCAAGCATAGCAGCTTCGCCAGATAAGAGATACTCCTTGATCATCTCGATCTCTGTCTGTTTCAGCTCAAATTTAGAGGAAAAGTGATGAAGCATCAAACCCTTGATTGTGTCTGGCCTTAGCTGCCCACGGCGATAATGGCAGATATCACGAGCATATTTGAACAACCGCTCTACCCCTGCTCCACTAGCAGGAATCGAGAGAATATCTCGTGCTATTCTGGCAAGCACTGGGAATTCCTGCTCATGTTCTTTCCAGTAAACACGTGGGTTTCCCTTACTAAGCCCTAATGTTTTTATTAGATACAGTAGACAGATTGAATAAATAAGAGGCTCACCTTTGGATAGATATCGCGTAACCTCATCTTGCCGGCCATCAAATTCATCAGTGGGGAGCGTGGTTTGTTGTGAGTCACAAAGCATTGCAAGCTCTTCATCCTCTATATCATCAATCTTCTCCGAGGTATCTGGTTGGTGAGCTTCCCTCTGAGCTTGTTTCTGATAAGTTACAAATTCATTTCGAAATGCGTCTTGATACTGCCTCATAAAATCAATATCACCACCTCTCCAATCCTTATTATCAAAGTATCGTAGCTTCTTTGGTGGATATAGAATTGTTGCTAGTGCACAGGTTGTACCATATACACTATCATCGGTTCCACTGTAATATTTAGAGAGCTTTTTCTGTGCCAGCTGAAGTTCCTGAAGCATGCTTTTCTTCCAGTGTACACGCTTACATCTTAACTTCTTCTCAGCCTCTTCAAGGTGGGAAAAGAGTCTGTTGTAGATGCTGAAGATATGGTGTACTGTGCAGTCCCTAGTCTTTGACAAGACATTGGTAAAGTCAAAGAAAGGCTTGGTAATCAACAGAAGATACTCAACCTGGCGCCACTCCTCATCGTTAAGCTTAAACTGAGTATATTGATTTGTAGTGCAATACTCATCAAAGCAAGATTGAAGCTTTCTCGCACGGGTAAGCATCAAGAAAGTTGAGTTCCAGCGTGTGCGCACATCTTGAATTGGAACAATTTTTGGCTCCTTTTTTTGTAGCCCTAGGAATGCCTCACGGCGCTGTGGGCTTGCATTAATAAATACTGCAAACCCGCGGACCTATAGTAGTGATGAGTTAAATTCATTGAAAGGGAATGGAATTGAAGAAACCTTTTTAAGTGTGTTTACGATTGAACGAGTAGAACACTTCGTCTGGAGATCTAAATTTGCTTAATTGACCACTCCGATTCGGCTTCATCATTCTCGGGTACGGCCTTTAGCTTTCCAAGGAGCTCTTGTAGGCAGAGCTGAATCACATGAGCAATACAGGGTACTCGAAAGATTGAGCTACCAGATTGAAGGAGGGACTAGACTATCTCCTGGATGCCAATCATCATGGTATTATTGTTTATAGCATTATCAGTCGTGATTAATAATACTCGGTCTGCAATCTTATAGTGTTATAGAATCTGAATAACAGTATTACTCAGATTACTACTAGTGTGTGATCCATAGAGATGCTCAAACCCAAATAGAACTTCGTGATAGTTCCAATCTTAATCAATGAAATAACCAGTGGTTGCCATAAATGCTTATTTAAACGGAGATGTCCAACAATCAAGCGCAATTAAGATTCAGCATCCATCTAGGAGTTTATTAAGTATCTCTCGCTGCTAGATTTCCACCGATGTATCAAGAAGTCGTCGTACCGTTCGGGCAAAGGGAATATTAAGCTTTAAGTCTGCAATCCGAGCATAATCAAGAAGACTTCTGAAACTAGCATGCTCGATGATCCGGAATGGAAGCCGGGCTATAGTTATAAATTCAAGAATCTTTTGTTGAAAGGTAGACTAATCGAATAAGACATCTACGTATACGGCTAAAGCCATATGAAGTGTAAGTAAGGCTTCCTAACATAAAGGGTCTGGCTCTAAGGGAAAGATAGACCATATTCTGTAGAAGTTCATTAATGCCCTGCTTCTTTGAGCCCGAAGGCTTCGCACATGTAATGCTTTTCATATATATCTTCATCGGAGACGTCCCTGCCCGACGATGACTTGGATGAATAAGAACAGCCTGGCAGCGCCTACACATTACCTTAGGCTCACCAGTCTTCTCTTGTGCAACTTGATCAAAGCAGTCCCAAACATCAGATGTCTTTTGCTTGCTCTACCATTGGATTGACGTCTGTAAGTCCTCCTTCTCACCGGATTCTGTCTTTAGCCACCACTCAACAAAACTCTTCCGGGAACTCTCCATATCAGGGTCGGTTAGGTTGTCGTTAAAGAGGATCCAATGCTTTTGGAGGTGCTTACTAACACGACGAAGTGATTCCGGTGCACGAATTGTATAATAGTGTCGTATAGGCGGAAGAGAGTAATCAGAAAATGAGGTTGTAGTACGACCTGCTTGGCTTAGGAAGTCAAGGAAGTCGTCCGATTGCAGGATATCTAGATTCATAAAAGACTTAGCATATTGAGATGCTGCGTATTGACTATCTAAGTGCTAGGATTAAGGCATGGTGGTAAGGTAAGGGAGGAAGTAAGGTATAGAGTATAAGTACGGAATAAGAAAAAAAGAATTCGAATACTTACTAAAGTGACCAGGCTAGAAAGATCAGGGGATGCTCAACTATCAGGTGTAGCTTGCGCGACCGTGACTTGGACGCGACTAGAATATGAAACATCGATATATCACATCCCCCACCTTAGTATAGAGAATAACCAATGAGGTAGTCTAGTAGGATATTCTATCTAGGTCCCTGATTGGATTAGAAGATTCAGGTTGATATTGAATTAGATATTTGTTGGATGTTTGTTGATATCCGCCGGATATCCAAGAAATATCCAATTAATATCCGCATGAGAGCGAATTTAAAATCACCCAAGTCCAACAACTCCAATAAACATGCTATGTTTTCACGATATCTTTATATTATAATCTACTGATTAAATTGCATTTCCTAATTCTTTAGGCTTTAAAGATTTTATATTCAGGAAGATATAATTAGATTATAGCAAATTAAGCAGATTCATCTTTTAATAGTCCTCTTCTATAGAATCCACACTAACTTTCATATACCAAAATATATATTTTCAACAGCAACCAAAATAACGAGAACCGTCACTTCAATAAATCAAAATTACCACTACCCACTATATCCCTTAGGAATTGAATTATCGCACATGGCTAAGAGAATAGAATCTCTTCTTGAATGCATTCATATTTCATATTATTTCAACTAGTAGATCACATATAAGATGGTAATTCTACCACAAACGACTATGACATACTGATACATCTGTAATGTGATGGAAAAAAGAGTGCTTGATCAGCTGTATAGGATCACATGAAGTGCCAAAACAAGTTAAATTAGCGAATTTTATGCTAGTGCGGATGATTGGTGGATTTTGCGGACATCCGTTGGATGCGGATGTCGAAGCGGTATCCAACATCCGCAGATTGCGGATGCGGATGTGACTTTGACATCCAACGGAGCGGATTTGCCGCAGCCTAATCCTGGTGATCTAGCTATACTTAATTACGCCACAATAGAGTCTGCTATTTAATTACCTAATTAGTAATACCTTATATACTATATACTCCTAGAAATACTTTATCTACTAGTCCTACTATCTCCTTTATAACTGCTAGTGCTAGAAAATATAGATAAGTGACGGCCCTGGAATTTTAAAATGGGGGCCCATTTGCCGGAGCCTACGGTAGTCATAGGCCAATTCTGGCCTCCGGGCGGTAAGCTGCCTTACCCCCCGGTTGGGCGAAGATCGGTTGGTCTTCAGTGCTCCTGGGAGGTGCGCCCTAAGTGGGTCCGTAATAATACTGAAGGCTATGGCGCCCAGGGGAGTTTCCATAGCGAATCAAAAAAGAAAGGTAAACACTAACGCCTAGGCATAACACATTCAGCCTACCAGAACTCTCCACGCATAAGCATCATTTGACCTGAGTCACGTCGGAAAATCCAAAACATTTATAGAAACCCAACTCGAAAAACCACAAGGGAAGTAGTAATAAAACCCTAGCCGCCTCACTTGGACAAGTGAGGCAGACGTCGTGGAAAGCGGGGTTTGAGCCTCTTATAATTCCCAAATATTATACATCAACCATAGGTTTCTCGTGTGGTGGTTTTCTTTTCTTTTCCTTTCTTCTTCGTTTTTTTTTGGACTTTTCGTCTCCATGTCGACTTGGCTCGTGTAAATCATCTTATACTCAGGCATCCTCTAACGCTGCACAATATTCTCTTTGAGATCTGAAATTCATTCTCCGACTCGATTGACTCTCGTAAGTTACAGGGCAGACATTTTCCTTCTGGATCATCTATAAATACCAATAGCGGACTGACTGTTCTTGATCAAAGACTGAGAAAGCCGCAGGGCTACCAAGATGCCCAACAGTGAAGAAGAATATGATACGCCCAGGAAACAGTCCAAGGTCGTCTCGATACTTGTGTCAATTGTGCGATTACTGCAACTTGGCTTCGGCGTTACAGTAATAGGCCTATACGGCAAAGACGTCCACAGCGATCTTCAAGATAAGCATATGTGGGAACCTAAATGGGGCTTCGCCTTAGTTCTCGGCACCCTGGCAGCGAGCACTGCTATGATACATATAATCTTCAGTTGTTGCGCTCGTCGGACGGGGTCATCCCCTTATCCAAATTGGAGAGTGCCCTCGATCATATGGGATTTTGGCTTATCTGCTTTGTGGTTGGCTCTATTCGGTATATTCGCCACAATGTACCTCTCGGCAAAAGTATCGGACCCGGGATCTGGCTTAGGGGATTCTTCAAAGATCCACCGGATGCGTGCTGCGGCCTGGATTGATCTGGTGAACGTTTTTCTGTGGGTTTACACTACATCGGCGGCTTTTTCGTCTTACAGGGACACTACTCTTACCCATGAACAATGGGTCTCCTCATATCCTTCTCAATCCGCTCCACCTGTCCACCCTAGATTGAGCCGCTCACGCAATATGGATTCGCATGCTACTTCTATCGCCTTGGCTGAACAGCTTTGGGCCGAAATCGAAGTGGCCGACATCCCAAGTCCAGCTCTTACCTCTGAACGTCATCACAGACACTCAGATCGCAGCTCTGGGCACTATTCAGAATACAGTCAACCAGAAACTGCTCGTTCGCCCCAGATGGCCACACACCCACTGGCCTTGACGATGCTCTGGCAAGTTTTTGAAACTGAAAGGGACAACCAAGATCCGACTTGTACTATCTGCCGGGAGGATGTGGCCTTGCGGGCTTTTGTCAAGCTACTGTCTTGTGGTCACTGGTTTCATCCGAGCTGCATTTCTCAGTGGTTAAACGACAACTCTACTTGTCCTATTTGTCGTGAGCATGTTCAGTAATGCCGTGGAAATTTGTTAGGGTCAGATGATGTGCCCTAGGTTATTTTAGCGCTTGTATATCAGATAACAATCCCCTTTTTATACATGATATTTAAAACATTAAAGGTAGAAATTAGCCCGCATTCGGCGTACTTATACCTAAATCTTCTTTATTTTAAACAATTTCTTAGCCACCTGTACAATTAGTGAACAGTGATGCAAACCCCGAGCAAAAAGGCATTGTGGGAAGTTATGAACATGATGACTAGATGATTCTCGCGTCGAACAAATTTTCTTTTTCTTTTCGTTCGACTTCCTAGCATGGCGTTCTCCGCTCACAAGCTGTGGTGACTTTATTCTCAGCAGAGGAAAATTTGCATAGCATTGCGTATTCTTTCTAGTTTTACAGACCCTACAACCTTTCAGGTTGTTTCATGATGTTTTTGTCCTTTATCATCATTCCATGGACATTTCAACTTCACTGCGTGACTTTGACTTTTTCGCCTTGATTTATACATACTCATCCTATGCTAGCGAGACATTACCAATCCGCTTAATTATAGCATACACATGGCCCTTGGAGGGCAGATCGACATCCTCAACTTTAAGCACGTCTGGATCAGTGCGTAGGAGCGTTTTTGCTAGAACCCAGAACTCTAGCGCATGTTTATGAATCCCATCAGCCTAGAATCTAAATGATATTTTTCTTAAAAAGCGGATTATAAAAACTCCCATGAAGTTCTACCCCGATCCATGTAATAAAGTTACTTGTCATCAAAGTTGCAGGTCTGTCAGTAATATAGATGATGTAAGCTAGATTAACGTGATTCACGGTCTCCCGGGCGACACTGCCGGTCGGGCGGCCCCATCAAAATCCCTCTTCATAATAAAACATGTTTATTAACTACAACAAAAATGCCTCCCCAACGCTCCGATCGAAAAAAAAAGTTGATAGAGCAGGAGGGCCGTCTTTTATTAGCTATAAAAGCTATAAAAGATGGTAAATATCCCTCTGCTGCAGCTGCTGCACGATCATTTGATTTACCTGTCTCAACTTTGAAGTATCGGCTTAATGGGCGTGAATCTTTGGCTGAGAAGAGACCAACTGGCCATATTTTTACTGAAATTGAAGAGCAATCAATGGAAGACTGGCTACTTGATATGGATGCTAGAGGCGCTGCTCTCACGATACCTATGTTACGTGATATGGCCAATCTCCTACGAAGTGCCCAGAAAAATACCCCCTCGACTATTGGCATCAATTGGCCTACTCAATTTATCAAACGACGCCCAAATCTCTCTACTCGACTTTCACGCAAATATGATTATCAGAGAGCTCTTTCAGAAGATCCGAGAATCATTAAACCATGGTTTGATTTGGTTCAAAAGACTATTGAAAAGTGGGGTATTGTTTCAGATGATATCTTCAACTTTGATGAGAGTGGTTTTGCTATGGGTATTGGCGCAACGCAAAAAATTATCACTTCCGCGGAATATCATGGAAAAAGAGTTCTTTTACAAGCTGGAAATCGAGAGTGGGTAACCACAATTGAGTGTATTCGAGCTTTTGGAAGTGTTATACCTCCGCTCTTCATTTTCAAGGGAAAAAAGTTTCCAGAGCATCTACGTCCCTATCTCCTTTTAAACCAAAAAGGAACTCATCTGACTATGAGTGAAAATGGCTGGACTACTAATACAATTGGTTTATGGTGGTTAAAACATCATTTTATCCCAAATATTGGGACAAGGGTAGGAAAATATTGCCTATTAGTCCTCGATGGTCATGGGAGTCATTTGACCCCCGAATTTGACCAAGTTTGTGAAGAAAACCAGATTATTGCAATCTGTATGCCTCCGCATGCTTCTCATCTTTTACAACCTTTGGATGTGGGTTGTTTTTCAGTTTTGAAGAAGCTTTATGGAGGAGCTGTTTCAACTTTGATGCGGAATGGAGTAAACTCTATTGATAAGGAAGATTTCCTTGAACTTATCGCAGATGCGAGAATAGGTGCTTTTAAGACTTCTACTATACAGAATAGCTTTTCAGCTACTGGATTAGCACTATTTGATGCTAATAAGGTCTTGGAAAAGCTAAATGTGCACCTGGATTCCCTTCCTCCGATAGAGATCCTCTCTCAGCGACCACCTTCTTCTGGCAGTGATAGTGATCCAAATACTCTCTGGACTCTCTCAAAATTCACAAAATCGCAATCTCGGATCAAAAAAGGTCTAGAATCTTCTTCTTCAATCCTCTCTTCACCATTAAAAAGAGAGCTTCAGAAGACCTATGATATGACTATCAAAGTGGTCCACCACCATATTTTTCTCCAGAATCGCTGTGCCCAATTAGAGGCTACCAACAAGAAACAGACAAAAAAAAGAGAGACCATACATAAATTTACTACCCGGAAAGGTATCTTTGGGGGTCTAGAGAGTGGTAAAGATGATGTGGTTTATGAGGATGAAGTTATAAGTAAAGATATATATTTACCAGAGGTATCTACAGGAGCGGTTGTTGAGCCTACTTTACCTTCTATGCCTTCGGTTCGGCGGCATGTGACATGTTCTGGCTGTGGGATAAAAGGTCATACATATCCTGGATGCCCTTCACGTGTTCAATAGCAAAATTTTGAGTTATTTGATAGTTTTAGTGGTAGTTCAAAATTAATGATTTTTCGAAGTTCGGTGGGGTCGCTCGCTCAACCGGGTCGCCCGCGCAACCGGACTTCACGTTATGTCATTTCTCTAAATTGGGAGGCCCTACACCAAGAATCCAGTTGGCTGGACCTTCCCGGTACATACTGTGTATATATATTGTAGCCGCACCTCCCCTCACCAATCAACAAAATGCTCTTTTTGAACTACAGATGCTATGATACCAAAGTCACACGCGTGACTTGTATATCTCTAGTGGCCCCACAAACATATAACCGATGAAGCCCAGACCGGTTGGTTTAGAGTACGACAGCGATACATCATGAAAGAAATGGGGGCCATGTCAATTCGAAGTCACCACGTATGATACAAATATGAGACTAACGCTCAGCAACTCCACGGCCACAAATGTAGGTTCCATATGAAATTGAAGACAGCGACGAGCCTTATATTCGACAAAATGACACTATGCACGTACTGTGTATATACACGTTAAAGCTGCCCTGCCCTTCACCCTGACGAGGCTGCCGTAGTACGACCATCCAACAGCATGGTATTTTGCACTTGTGTTACCGATAGCAGTCATCAGTCTACAAGGAGGATCCTCCATCGAGGTCTAATCAGGGAACTACGTAGGCGTAAGCAGCGTGCACAATGAGAATGAGCCCTGCATCATCGGCCTAGAGTTTGCCAGCATGACGAGCACTTTGGCCAGGTTCTGACTCTTTAGAACCTAATCAAAGCACTCGGAAACTACGAAAGAACCTGAGTTACTCGCTCTTCATCAGTCAGCAGCTCACGCGGAACATAAGATGTGCCTAACAAGGCAAGTCAAGGCCTTGTGGTGATCGTGCGTTGCGAGACATCAGCGACGTAGCGACGCACAGCTATGTGTCTGATGAGACATGACTGCGCGATGGCTGAGATGTTTAGGTGGCCAGCAAGCGTGGTGTCATGACACATCACCAGCGATTGACAATGGAATGTTTTACGTCAAGCCAGCAGAGCTTGCTGTGTTGGGAGAGGAGCAAGCACACGCGCTACAAAAGGTCCGAAGCGAGCAGAGATAATTCCACGCAGCCATGCAGAAATGTACGCGATGGCGTAGACGTCACAGCGACTCGACAGGACGATGCAACAGGAGAGAATATCGCACCTCACCATCCTGGCGTGACTCTCACTCTTGTACTCGAGTGACAGGCAACTGAGCTATATCTCCAGCACCAATAAGCAAGACTCTCCAAAACTCCTCCGTTGGTCTGCCACGGCAGTTCGACGGCGAGTCTTACACAATGATGGCTTCCTCTTCGTGGATCTCCACACCCACCAGAGTGAATTTCTGGGTGAAACTGATATCACCGAGTACAAAATTCTCTGAATTTCTCGATCCGCCAAGAAGCTGGGCATGAATTCTTGGAAGCTCAAATCGACTTCTCTTCAGCAGCATCGAGGCCGGGGCCATATGTCACGTGATCAAATGGCAGGGGTGTTTGGAAACCATGGTGCTCATCGGTCCAGCAACCGACGGGCATCGCGAGAGACCAATTTGTTCGGCTCGAACGTAGTGTCATAGATACTACGAGAGACGGCGTAAATTGATGGCACCTTGCATGAGATCTTCCAGACCTCAGGACGACTGATATGGCCGAGCAGTGATGCCTGCAATGAAAAGGTCAATGGTACCTTGTCGGCTGAAGTTGATCCACCGGTAGTAGCACTCGGTAATTAAGCTTGCAACGATAGTCAGGCCAGAGTTGCCGGTCTTGCAAACCACACTGTATGGCTACCAGATGCGGCTTCATGTCACCCACATTTGCACACATCGCTCCGCTGACAGAACATCAAGTACCAGCGGGCGCGACTTCATACTTGCTGCTTGGCAGATGAGTCTCCAGTCCCCATAGAATCCATTGACGTTCTCATGGAAGAGGTGATTCCCTTTGTTGCACCTCTACTCAATTTTCGAGTATCGTCTTCTCTGGACTGCGAACATGCATTCAAGCATGAGAACGGCATTCGCTAGAGTAGCTGCCCATGTCATCGCATCGGACGAGGAGATGACGGGCAGGGATCCACATTGACTCAACTCTGGCAGACGGTCTGTGGAGGTCGGTAGAGGGTAACCGCGCAACAGATGGACAGGTTGGCAAGAACAATAAGATTCGCCGGCTGAGCTGTTTGTCGAGTAAGAATGTCGAACGGTGTCAGCGCTCGCACGTCATGGATGGAAATACAGCGTCGCATTCCAAAGCGCGACGTTGGCATTGGCTTTTCAGTCCATCAGTGTCTGACGAGAGGAAGCTGCTTTAGATACAACGCGACGGCAAAAGCGGTGAGGTGGTCCCAGACGCGGGGCCGCATTGTTT